CCCGAAAACAACGTCCTGCCAGTCGGAATCTGATGCGCTCGTTTGGCTCGTCCAAGACAGGCCGTCGTGGCTCGTCATCACCCTGTTGCCCGTACCGGTAGAGGATACTGCCACAAACGTCCCGTTTCCCCATGTCACGCCTCGCCATTCATTATCACTGGCGCTCGCTCTTGAGGTCCATACACTGCCATCCGGGCTTGTCATGACGCGGGTGTTGATGGTACCAGTACTGCTCACGGCTACGAACAAGTTTTCTGCGTAGGTCACACTTTGCCATTCGTTGATCGCCGCAGCAGTTTGACTCGACCAGCTAATGCCGTCTGAGCTTGTCATCACCAGAGTGCCAGAAGTGGCACTGGCGACGGCGACGAAGAGACTACCCCCAAACGTGACGTCCCACCAACCCGAATTTGCAGCGGCTGTTCTAGACGTCCAGCTCTCGCCATCAGATCTTGTCATAACCTTGCCGGTTGCCACTGCCACAAAGAGACTGTTGCCGTATGTGACTGACCTCCAAAACGTCTCCTCCCCAGACGTCTGTGAGCGATCCACGTATTCGCATCTACACTGGTTATGACCCATGTCGTTGTAAATCCGACAGCGACCCATTTTGAATCGCCATAGCCGATGCCAGTGTATGCGCTAGAAGTTGGGACGGTCTGTGTCTGACTCCAAGTTGCCCCATCGTCATTGCTGAATGCAATGCTTGAAATCGTAGGGAATCCCACATCGACGGCGACGTACGTTCCGTCGTGGTAGGCAACAGCATTGAGGTTCCCAGTGCTTGTGAAAATACTGTCCCACGATGATCCAGGACCAGGCGCCGGCGGGGCGTGGCAGTAGGTGAGGGGGTTGGGAAGGGAGTGGGCAACGCAGTGGGCGACGCAGTGGGCGCGGCAGTTGGCGTGGCGGTCGGCGACATTGTAGGCGTGGAAGTTGGTGTGCCTGTGGGCGTCGCAGTAGGCGTGGCAGTGGGCGTTGCAGATGGCGAGTGAGTGGGCGACGTAGTAGGCGACGCAGTGGGTGTCGCTGTGGGCGTCGCAGTGGGTGTCTCAGTTGGCGAGCGAGTAGGCATTCCAGTAGGCGTGACAGTGGGGTAGGCCGTGGGCATCGCAGTAGTCAAGGAAGTGGGAGAGGTAATGGGCGACACAGTGGGTGTGGCAGTGGGTGGGCAGTGGGTGTCCCAGTCGGCGTGGCAGTGGGCCGGGCAGTAGGCGACGCAGTGGGTGTCCCAGTCGGCGTGACAGTGGGGCTTGTAGTAGGCGACGCAGTAGGTTTCCCAGTAGGCTTGACAGTGGGCGTGCCAGTGGACGACGTGGTCGGCATCACAGTAGGAATGGTAGTCGGAGAAGACGTTTTAGGCGAGAGCGCTTCGTACACGTTGAAATCGGGATCGAAGATCAGGGGTGTGCACACTCGAATGCAGCAGAAGCACTGACTGGTCACGGTATTCCAGGTGAAGAGGAACGGTGCTTCTTCGCCCCCGTTCAGCGAGCAATATTCATAGCAAGCCTCCGGGGTAACGATTGACTGCAGGTATCGGTCTCCATCTTGGCTGAGAGCTATGATGCCTCCATGCCTGTTGATTCCCGGATGCACCGACAGACGACGGTCCTGAAGGGGGCCAGGCACCCCCCTTGAGAGAACCGCTGGCCCTCACCAAGGAGCACAAAAGGCTGAGTAGGATTGACGGTAGGTGCTGAAGTTGGCGCGCAAGTCGCGGCTTTTTTGAGTTTCGAGTATCGCACTTCTACGATGGCGGTTGGCCAGCGGCGTGATGCATGAGGCGTCTGTAGCATTCACTAGGTAAGCGAAAGCGTCCACCGCCAACATCTCAGGGGCACAATTGTCAGCCTTCACCTTGATACGAAAGCGGCGTACCCCTCCTTTGGATTTGATGATACAAAAGCAACTCCTTCCTCGTACAACATCCTACCTCTCTCATCTTTTCCTTATTGCTACATAGAAACACCCTGCCTCTCAACTTCAATTTCTTACGTCAATCACTTCGCTAACTTCAGCGCCTACATCGCTCATTTCTCATCATCTTCTTCTCTCCTCTTCCTGCAATTAGTATTCATCTTGACCCCTCTTTCCTCGCAAAGATCGTTGGAAACATTGCAGCCTCCCAAGGCCTGAACGATGGTTGCAAAGGAGAGTACAAGAGAAGCCGAGAGTGACCATGCCAACAAAACGACCTTTTCTGCGTCGCAGACACAAGTTTCATTCTTCCTTAATCATCGGATGCAAGCAGAGCCAAAATGCGTACCTTGAAAAGATAGTCGCTTGATCTCTCCCCTGGGAGCCAGATCGAGCGTGCAACTCCATAAAAACGTCTCGGTTCCTTTTCTTATGCATCCCTCTCTTCTTTTTGAGGCCCTCTCGATCTCCCTCCATTCCAGGAGGGAAAAGAGAGAAGGGCGAGGGGAAGGAAAGGAGGGGAGGGCGGGAGGGAAGACTAGCCGTAGTATCCCCCACGGAGACCTATTATTTTAGCTTCCCGTCAAAAAAAAGAGAGAAGAGCCCGCAAACGGAGGAGAGGATCGAGAGCAGGCCTACGAGGAGGTAGGAAGATAATAATAAGGGTGAAAAGAAGAAACTTAGGAAGGGGGGACAGGAGGGTGACAAGGAGGACGAAAGAAAGGGAGGGAGGGAGGGAGGAGAAGAGCAACGAGAAAATGGGTGGCCACATGCAGATTAGACGTCACCTTTGACAAACGTCTTAAGATCTCACCTGAATGTGATTGCTCTCTCTCCCTCCTTCCCTCCTTCCCTCCCTCCTTCCCTCCTTCCCTCCCTACCGTACTTGTTGTCGTCGATGGTACTTTTTCGCTCTTTAGCCTCTCCCTTTCCCTCCCTGTCCCCCTTTCAGAAGCTACCTTTGATCTCCAGGTCATGCCAAGACAGGTTTGAGATGGTGGCACAAGCGGAAGAGGGAAAGACGGCATCCGTCACCATCCCTTATGCTAAACAAGTTCTCTTATTCTAAGTTTAGCCCCTTCTCTGATCCTATCTTTTATCCTAGCCTTTAGCCTAACCCTAGCCCTAATCCTAACCATGACGAATCAGGTTTCTGGCCAAGGCAAGAAATTAATGAGGGCCACGTTCCTTGCAAGAGACTGCTAATTGTGCTCTCAACACGATTAATACATTAGGGGCAGTTTTTGCCACCCTACCATTCGTTTACGTGATATTATACTAACTCAGGAACTATTTTGTGAGCGGTAGTTTGATGCGCACCGAAAACTTTCTGATGTCGCGAGTTGACAACAAGATGTTGCTCTCGCGCTTCGGCGACAGACCCAGGTATAGAAGACTAGGCAAACTAATGTGCTATTTCTCAACTTTGCAGCACACACTGGCTCCGAATTCATCGCGGCATGATCAACAGGGTCGCGGGTGTGGACGACTTTGGCTTCTTCTACTCCTCACCGATATTATTGGAGGAGATTGATTTCTTGTAGCGTGGTTTCTAAGGGCCCTGCAGGCGAATTACTATCCCCCGTCCGGACAGAACCCGGCCTGCCGTGTAGCCAGCCTTACAAATACATGCAGGCGGCCCTTTTACAGGGCGAAAAGAAGCAAGAAATGGTCCCATCTGATCGTTACAACGTAGCATATGGTACGTGACGGCATGGACAGGTCTAGTATACTAGAAGAAATGTGCCCGTTGGGTTTTAGAACCCAGGGTTGGAACCATAGCTCCTGGAAAATCATCCATGTCGTGCCATCAATCGACACATTTTTTCTTTTCCGGAATGCATGACGGTCGTCACTGTGCCCAGAGGAGTTCTCCTGAAATTCAATCTTAACCTCACTCAATTTTCGCCACTAGTTATATTTTACCTGAATGGAATCGCTCAGCTATACCCTTGGAACGGTACGTATCAGACTTTCAAGAGTATTGATCGAAATTTACTGGGGTGTTTGAATTGCTTCATAATTTCCATCAAATCTCTAGATCACGGCACCTAAAGACATCTCGGTACCCTCACGACAGCCTTCATTACCGCCGCGCCTTATTTTGCGCAGCGTTTCTGTGGGACGAATAGGCAGCATGACTTTGAAAATTGTGCGTCTTAGTAGCATGCTAGTTCTCATTACAATAATGTTGCTTTTTTTATTTGTCCCAATTTGCGTAAGTGCTCACCATGGATAATGGCCTGTCGTGCCCTCGCGCTCGCGCTCACGTCCCCTCCTGTCTGTCTATCTTCTTCGCGGGCAGTCTTTTCTCTCACGTTCATGGCAACCAACTTGCTGTTCCAAAGCTTGCTCGTGCGGTATGCCAAAACTGCCGGTAAGTGCAGCATCACCTTTCGGATCGTCCTGCCGCTCGCTCTTCTACTCTCGATATTCGCTGCCACCGCGGTATTGGTTCTCGTCAAAGATGCCTCCCGGGACGGAATGTTCAGCTTCACTGCCTTAAGCGTGGCACTCTGCGGCTTCTGCACCTCTGTCCTCCAGGCGGCGATCTTCGGCTATGCGGCGGCCTTCCCCCCCCGATACACGCAAGCCATGATGGCGGGACAGGGGCTCGCTGGCCTCATCGTGGCCGCAGCAGGCTTGGCCACAGCCGCGAGCAGCCGAGCCAACGGTGCCTGCGCTGGTGTGCATCTGACGGAGGAGGGACCCGGACAAGGAGAGCAAATGGCGGCCTGCTCGGCTTACCAGGAGATCGACTACCACGCCTTGGCGTACTTCGGGACGGCCGTGGTCATATTGGGGGTCTGCATCGTCTCCTTCCTTTACCTGGAGCGCTTGCCTTTGGCGCAGTTCTTTGTGGGCTATAACAAGCGCCACGTCCACAGCCCCAGAGGAGCAGCGGGTGGAGGGTCCAAAGCGACCTTGGGGCTTGGCGGCAACAGGAGTGGGAGCGGCAAAGGCGATGACGCGTCAGTCGTGGAGAGCGGCCTCCGTGCCCTGCCGATGGCGGTGCGTTCCGGAGCCGGAGGAGAGGGGGCTGCGGATAAGGAAGCGGTCGGTGTCGATGGGGAACAAGGGGAGGAAGCCAGCGACGAGGAGAGCAGTGTTGGTCTCGTGGGGGTGCTGCCCAACACGGACCCCTGCGCTCTCCTGTCCCGTGTGGATTCGTCCTTGTCACTCTTGAGCGCCCATGGAGAGGACGAGCGAGGTGACGGCAATGAGGAGTCAGAGTCGTGGGGGAACACCACACTGCACGACATAAAAAGCTCTGTGCGCACGCACCAGCACGTGTCATTTCTCGTTCTTCTTCGCCGCCTTGGGTCTCCAGGCCTGGCAGTCTTCCTCGTTTTTTCCATCACCCTGGCCCTCTTTCCATCCACCACGGTACACATCGTCTCTGTGCGACGCTGCCAAGGCAGAGGGGTCTTTTATGACCAAGCTTTCGTCCCCTTCCAGTTCCTTCTCTTCAATCTGGGCGACTGGGGAGGTCGCACCCTCGCCGGCCACCTCCCCTCGCCCTTTCTTGTGCCCGCTCACCGATTGAGCTTCTATGCAGCGGCCAGGGTAGTATTCTTGCCGCTTTTCTTGCTCTGCAACGTAGACGACTCAGCATTTCCTATAGTCTTTGCGGCGGACTGGTGGCCAATGCTCTTCATGCTTTTCTTTTCGCTCAGCAACGGCTATCTCTCATCTTTAGCTATGATGCGAGGGCCTGCACAGCTGACCGTAGATCAGGCAGAGCGAGGTGGGAACGTGATGGTTCTGTTGATGACGGCTGGTCTGAGCGCGGGGTCTGTGCTCTCTTTTCTTGTTTCGGCTGTAAGCCTTAACAAGTTCTAAATTTCGGGGTACATATATTGTCGAAAGACTCTGTAGATATGAAAAATCCAACTCATGACGAATATAATGCCCAATGAAATTTTACAAACGCTTTTGTAGACGGTGTTAAGGTGGAAATGCACAGCAGTTGTAGGAATTGTCAATTTCTACCTGGTTTCCATCGTTTTATTGGTACGTCTGTCCACCACTTTGCGGGGCAAGTTCACCACGCAAACCAATCATATTTTGTTGATGAATATGATTGATGGCAAACTGGCCCGCAATATAGCCACATGTCGGGGACGTACCACTTCCATGGTCCTTTTTGCGGACGCACGGTGGCTGAACCTCCTCTATCCAACAACTTTCTTGAACGAGCACCTAAAATCATACTCTGTAGTAACGATTTACAGGATGAAAACAACTAGAGTCCTGTATTTCTATACTTTTATTGCCATACAACCTGGCATCAGTCCTTGTTCGCGATTTTCCTAACATTTCTCCCCCCAAAAAGGCTTTCTTCAACAGGTGCTTACACATCGCCAAACAGTGCCCCCAGCGGCTCTACCTTCAGCTCTCACGAAATATACGCACCCCGCCTAAAATAACACAGGAGCCATGAAGAGTAATCGTAAAGCCATGGCCATCTCATCATTAAGCGTGGCGCTGTGCACGCTATCTCAGTCGGGATCTCGTATAACGGATAAGAAAGAGGCAATCCGCTTTATTACAGAGACTGTATCGGACTCCAAACGCGCCGCTGCCTTAACGAAAAAAGGGCGATGGGAGGAGGTAGTGTGGTCAACTCTCATGTATGTCAAGCATGAAGGACGGAGCAACAAACAAAAGCGTGCGCAACAAGAGGACGTTGGGCTCTTCCTGGTGTCGGTTGTCCGACGGGCCCCACTCCGGGAAGGGGCATGGCCCCTAGTTCCCCTTGTCGAGGCTCTCGTCACGGATGCCCTGCTGCGGATGGACCAGGAGGCTACAGTTGGGAGTGCCTTACAACTGCTAGAAATATTGCTGAAAGAGGCCAAATATTGCGAGGGCATGAGTCGGGGCCTAGCAGAGCGATGCATGCAAAGATTGATGCGCTCTTTGGAGGAGGACGATGAGAGAAATGGGTTGGACCAGACCTCCATCTCCCGCGCGCGGTCACTCGCGAATCTGATAGCCAACTATCGCCGAGACTTTGTCCTCGAGGGCGACAGATCGGGCGGAAGGGAATCATTTTTGCGGGGCGTGGTGCGCTTCGCGGGCAGGTGGGCGGGGCGGCACGGGATCGCCGAGGCCCGCAAAGCCGGTGTCAACGCCTTCCCGGACGTGGCAGAGGAAGTGCTGGCCACCATAAATGCCTTGCTCCTCAAGTACGGCGTAGATTGCGCCCCCCACTTGGCCATGGGCGGCCACGACCAAGATATGAGCTACGGCGAGGCGGTCCTGAGCCTGGCACTCCAGTGCTTGCCCAATCTGCGGGCCTCCAAGATTCCCACCTTCTTCGAACACGTCCGCCTCCAACTCCATCTAGCCCGCGCTCGGCTCGCTTTTGCACACCCGTGGCTTCTGGATGCTGGCGATTACATGGCGCACAATCTCGACAACGTATGGGAGGTGGTTGTGCAGGACTGTCTGGTCAATGCCGGCCAGCACGTGCGGGCGCACGGTGCTGGCGGGAAGAAGGGTAGAGAGGAAACCTGGGTGCCGTTGGAGTATCGAGGGCGTTTGAGTCTGGTCCTGGCAGCGGAGGTTTTGTTCGCGATACGGGCTTTGAGAGTGACGTGCGTGGACGGGCAGGAGCCCCCCGGAACAAGTGTGGCCGTTGAGAGTGGAGAGAAGGCACGCGGAGGTGGTGAGACAGAGGTCTTGCGCGGAGAGGAATGTTTGGATGGGGATCAAGGGGGTGGAAGAATGCGTGGACCGGGGCAGATGCGGAAACGGCAGCGGCTGGCGAGCAGCAGGGGGGAAGCCGGGGTTAGCTCGATAGCTCGGGAGGCCGGATCGGGCTCGGATCCGGTCAAGGAGGACCCCATGGGCCGCATATACCACGTCTTGCGCATGGCTTCGAAGGGGAACGTGGGCAGCAGGGAGGATAGTGCCAGGCTTGGGAGACGTGTGCAGGCAGGTTGTCGGGCGGGTTTCTCGGATGGCGACCAAGTGAGGTCACACGGACAGGCCGATGCGAGCCTAGCTACTCAAAATCCAGGCTCACAGCCCACCGTCAAGGGCACTCAAGATCGAGTAGACGGGGGGGTTGGCTCTGGGGGCGCGAGGGTGAGTGTCATTCTGGCTCACTTGCAACTTTTGGCCGCCGTCTTGGAGAACTTGCCTTCGGGCGGAGAGCTCTGGGTGCTTTGCGAGACTGTCGAAGGAGAGGGCTTTGTGGAGCTTGTAGGCGTACTGGAGAACCTGTTGGTATCACGACGGGAAAGTGTGCTTCTCCTGTGGACCTTGGTGGCATTGCTCGCACTGGCTCACGTCTGCACTCGCCGCCCGATGCCGGTATTCCCGTCGGCCCAGCTCGGTGCTGCTTGGGGTCGAGTCCTCCATACCATCCTCCGTCCTGATCTGAAATGCTGGTCAGCTACAGGCCGTCTAGATTCTCAACGGGTAGGACTGGGTGACGGCGTTCTCCGACTGCTAATCAAACTGGTAAGCCACCCTATTCTCCTAAGCGAGGCTACACTAGCGAGAAATCAAGACCTACTGTGGAGATTGCCGGCGTTTCAAAGCGTGCAGGACTCTTTGAGTGCCATAAATTTGTTGCATGCTTTGCTACAGCGGGGGGAGATATCGGACGGCCATGATAGTATAGCCTCAGTTTTTTTTGGGTCCACGGGTGTAGTCAGTACGAGTGTGCCATGTGTTTTTTTGGACCACGCCCACCTTTCAAATGGTGGGGTACGTGGAAATGGAGAGAGCAGTGAAGAAAATGAGAACCTGCTCAGGAAAAGGCAGATGATGCTACCTCAGGCTCGAAGTCGCGCGGAGCGCGTGAGCGATTTTTTAATGGGATTTCTTAGCCTTCAGCTCTTCCGATCGCATGCTTCGATCATAGATCGGTGTCGAGCTATTGCTCGGGCTATGGCAGCATTGGTGGACTTAATTGGGGCTTCTCGCTATCGACTGCGCACGGTGACTGATGAGGACGGTACGCAAGCAGAAAATTGTGCGTTACCCTGGACAGTGGAGTCGTCATTTGCCGTCGGAAAACTGAGGTGGTCTCTCTCGAGTCCCTGGCGAGTGCTTGCGGAAGAAGAAGGGAGGCGGCGCAAGGCTCGGTCGTTAGGAAGTCACACTGAAGCCGAAGGAGGGAGTAGTCTCGATGAGAGTGGGACTATTCGACATTTCTTTTGCATCCACGGAGAGCGCAATCTATGGCGAGACCTGACAAGGAGTATCGATGACGCAGGGACAACGTTTCAAACGGGAGCGACTTTCTCCACGTCTGGTATGGCCTCAACAAAAGCAGCCGCTACAGGATATTCCACAACTCCTACTCGAGGCTTCAGTCCTGATCTACGGGGTATTACGGTGCCTAGTGCCTCTACTAAGACAGCCAAGCTCTGTTCTGCAGGCGGACACCCTTTGCGACGCCGATGCCACGGGCGGAGATTTGAGGAAAATGATATTCTCGGTGATGCGAGGGCAGTCCAAATGAATAGAGTTGCAGTGCGTGCTGTACGA